TTAAATTTTTAGTACAAAAAATGCATTAAATACCACGAAAATGATCTCATAAATGGCGCACTCATGATCATGATGGCAGTTCAGGAAAAGACCAAATCCGCTGGCTGGGTTGGCTAGTATAGTCGGGGCATCTTATTCAAATTGGACTGAACAATTTTAGTTTTTACTTCAAAGTATCGCGAGCCTTGCGGAGCAACTCGAGCTCCTCGTCTGCGATAGCTGGCGGTGTTCTCCGAAGATGGCATTCAAGAGATGACAGTTGACGAAGGTGTTGATTGATTATCGAGGAATGACCTGTCTTTAATAGATATATTTGTATAGTCGGTCTGATTCAGCGGATGCTATATTCTCATTCCCGAGACCATCGGTTCAACTAGCTCGACTTTTTCCCGACTCAATATTTTTAAGATCGGTGAATCCCAATAAGTGTGAATTTTATGCTCATTTTTTCCTGTTTTACTTATAATCCAAAATACTTCGACCTTGTTTTGACTTGGTCATAATTTCTGACTAGCAGTAAGTGTTACTGAAGAGAAAATATTTAAAATAAAACCGGTTTATCCGATTTTTTCTTAATTTGAAAATGGGACACTGGGTTTTTCGAGTCGCCATTTTTCGAATAACTCAAAAACCGGTCTTCGAAAAAAGGCAAATAATTGATCGCCCTAATATGTATTTACATATGGCTGGACATAAGTATATTAAATGCCCCCCGTTACACTTTTCTTTTTATTTTTAACTTGTGCGCCAAACGACAAAAGAAGCTTAAAATTAAAAACAAAATTATCCTAACCAGCGGACAGAGGTGAATGATACACTGAACGCTGTTTATATTCTGAATTAAATATATGTACATACAGATGTTTTACACGCATATATGCGTACACACCTACATATGTATATATACAATACGTATAAAAAAAACGCTATACATATTGATTCCAGTCAAGTCACTAAAACTAATATTCTAATTTATCATATATTTTTTATTGAATCTCTCAGGAAGCACGTCAAAAAAAGAATACATACATGCATACATATTTACATACATACATATATAGTATGCATGTTCAGTTCATTTTATCGTAAAACTTGCGACAGCCACACCCACTTATGTAACAAAATGTGTACTAAATTATTCAACGCAATTATAAACAAGTAATTTTTTAAGCAAAAAACAAAACCGACTTCAATTCTGATAGAAAAATTTAAGATTATCGTTAATTTCTTCATGATCCAATCATCGAATTTAAACCAAATTAGTATGGGACCACCTGTGAGGTAACACCTTTCCTTTAAAAAAAAAAAAAACTAATTATAGAAATCGGTTATCGTAGTCCAAAGTTATGCGGTAACATACATAAACAAAAATAAAATATTCCGACAAATTGATAACCTTCTCCTTATTGTGAAGTCGGTTAAAAAGGAAACTGCCAATAATGTTGACAATGTATATAAGCCAAATTCGCGTACATTGTTCCTAGGGTTACTAGTTACCAATGTGTGTCGAGTGAAAAGGTCATACTTCGAAGTTTGAAAACAATTTTTTTGCCAATCGATGTTTGTACCCGAAGTATTTTTTTTTTTAATTTTTGTTTTGTCGATAAATAAATGTATAGCTCCTCAATGACTGCTTTGATTGGGAAATGTTGTGGGCATGAATGATGCACTTTTTTTCAAATCTCAATAAAAAGAAATTTGGCTACATGTATATATTTATATCCAAAACTGTTCTACTTTCTTATATTCCGATTTCGAGTTTGGATTCTGCAGAATGTTTTACATTAAAATTCATATAAAAATGTTGCAGGTCGCACAATTGTTTCGTTTCTAAAGAGATGTGTTATTGTCGACTAAAATGCAAGGCGGACCCGAGTGTTTCCTATTATGAAAAACTCGTATCAATGTAGTCCTTTTGTCACGCCTACTACAAATTATATATCGTTGGAAAGGTTAGAAAATAAAATGTAAAAATAAGCCACTTTCGAAAAAATTAAAATTTTCTTATTGCAAAGTTTTGAGACTCATATTTCTTACCTACCTAGGACTCCTTTCGGACTCATATATTTTGAACGCTCAGAATATGTTTGCGGGGTAACTACAATATAGTAGACTTTTAACGAAATCTCGGAAAACAATTTTGATGAATTTTACCCCATGTACATTAAAACAAGAGGGCCAAAAATGTATGCGAAAAAATAAGGTCGGATTTTTAATGTCGCCACCACCTAGCATTGTTCTATACCCAAAAAAAATATACCCCAATTTTTTATTCTGAAAAAAAAAATAAAAAAAAATTATGGAGTGCTCAAAACGCTCAAAGCTTTTCATGTATTTTAAATGGGGCAAAACAACTTTTTGTAGAAATAGTTCAGANTCATGGTAACTATATTTTATAGATCCTCCAAAACCCCCAGAAAATGCTATGGGGGACCAATAAAAAATTTTTAATACTAAAAAATGGTTAAATAAACAATTGGATATTAATATTGGAAATCTCCTGAAGAGAACCATAGGTTTCCGATCGAAAAATTTGATTTTCAAGTGCTGTGAGCACTCCCTAAATATTTTTTTAATTTCAAAACAAAAAATTGGGGTATATTTTTTTCAGTTCAGAACAATCCTCCGGGCAGGCGGCATTAAAATTCCGACTTTATTGTTTTTTAGGCCACTCTAATGTATATACATATGCAAAAAATTCGACATGGACTAAAAATATTTATCTTAATAGCACTTGACTTTTGCTCACTGCGCCGCGACTGACACAGGAAATAATCCTAGATAAACCAAATTGGTCTAAGTTATAAACAACAATCAGCCAAATGATAACATAAAAAATTTATGAGATGGATGTGTATATGTACATTAGACCGTACCAGAAAAAAATCGTCGTACACCCGCGTCTAAAGTATTTTTACAAGGCAATTTCAAAAAAATACATAATAATTTTTTGGCCGAACGTAGGGGTCAACCTTTTTAAATTCTTCGTAATATCTTCGGTATTTACAGTCGGATCGTAAAGTATGATATACCAATGTTCTTGTCTCGATGCATTTTTTGGTTCTAAAGTTACCCACCAGATCTTGGTTCTTATCGCCCTAACGTACCACCCTAATATCAGTACAATAACGCACGCCAAAAAATCATTATACTTTTGCTAAGGAAGTACATACATATTTCGATTAGACCACTAGAACTATTTTATAACAACCTTGTATATTGCCGAATGTATTAGTGGCGTCACCAAAAAATTTAAAAAGGCGACACTAAAAAACAAAATAGAGATTGCCTTGCAAAAATTATTTATGACCTTTCAATTATTTACTCTTAAAGTAGTATGGTCTAATGTACATATGCATGGAAACTTAGGTTATAAATATTTAGCTAATAAATGGGTATAAAGCACTACAGTGGCTCTTAACCTTTTGCTTGCTTTTATACTCGTTTATTAGTTTTTTATGGAATGACTTCGCGGACCGGTTTGGGTGTTTTGCAGCGACCATTGATTAAGAAGCACTGATGTGCTAGCAGCTAGCTTGTACTTATCAGCAACTACCCAATTTCAAAATGCAAATAGTAACTAAGTAAGGGCGTAATGTACATACATACATACATAAATATGTATTATGAATTTATGAGTAGAAAGCATTCGCATTTGCTGATAGACGAGACATCTTATCTAAGAATTGAGTATCGATTAGTTGCTAGAAATTACTTTTACTTTCGGACAGTGAAATCTATCCAAATATTATTCTGAAAAGCAGCGCTTAGCTTGGCTAAACTACAACAGCTACAGAATTTAAATTTGGTGTCACATTTTCGATAGGCTTCAAATTTTTTTTATGGGTTCTATACAGGAAATTAGCTAACACGTCTTGGAGGACTTTTTTTTCGTAATTCTGACTAATCATGTATTTTTTTTTGTCTTCGAAGATATGATCTGTCAAAGTTTGCATTTTTTTCGTAATTCTGACTAATCATGTACTTCCTCAAATCGTTATATCTCGGGTTCTGCTCATCGTAGAGACTTCATCTTGTCCTTAAGCTAACTTAGCTATTAACAGCTGAACTTTTTGAAGTTGATTTTCATATTGAAGATCAGCAAATTAGGGATTAAAAATTATACCATTGTAATCCTTGTTTAATTCTCTATAAAAAAACATGGTTCAAAAAAATTGGCGTTTTGCAAGAACAATTTTTAAAATATTTTTCTTCATGAAGAGATGGTTTATTTTTGAGAGATATTTAGTAAGGTGTTGAACGTCGGGTTTTTGCAAAAATTTTAATTTTATTGCGAATTCCGACAGAATACCTATCCAGATATAATATTTGCACAGCAAGATTTTTCTTTAAGGCGACAAACCCCTAAAAATGAGCGGGTCAATTACAGGACTAAAGTTATCGCTTCGTTGCTCCACAACTTTTTCAAATTTTTTTCTGAAACTCTCCTAAGTGGACGAATCGGCAAGGAAAGGTATGACCACCGACAACTTTCCGAAAAAGGACATTGAATTTACAGTCAATTTTCCGCAGTTTGTTATACTAGTTCACAACATTTGAAAGCTGCAACAACTTTTCACCCTGTAAAACTTCCAGGATTGCCTGGCCTTTCTATACTTACGTTCAAGTTTAAAAAGAAAAGAAATGTTCTTTCTTATTAAGGCCCTTACCGGACCACTTAATAAGTGGTCCGTAATGGTAATGTGGAATCAGACCAATATGTGGGGAGGACCAACTCTACTTAACCTACTTAACAAACAGTGTTTAGCCGAGCTTCTCCTCCGATTTATGGCATGCGCATTGATGTTGACCTTACTCCCTCGGCGATTGAATTTTATGAGAAGCATGGTTTTTTTATATCTCGTCCCATACTAATTTGATTTAGTTCCGAACATTGGATCATCAACAAATTAACGGTACTTTAAAATTTGTATATGAGAAATGAAGTCGGCTGTTTTTCTTTTTTGCTTACTACTTGTTTTATTACTACCTCTGTGAAATCACATTGCACTTTGACCAATTACAAATAACACCTTTTTAATCATTCAAAGAACGTTTCTCTCTAAACCTTTATCGGACAGCGATACATTGTATTCAATTTATTGATATCACTGTTGCTCATGCCCCGTCGTTGACCTATTACAGCCCCTTCATTTTTCAATGGAATAATAGTTTTTTCGCCATTCACTGAGAATGCATATTCGTGATAGTGTAATATACTTCCATAGTCGTATTCCTCCTCGTAATCATCTATATAGTCTTCGTCATATTTCTCGAAGTTAAACTCCATACCCTCTTGTATGTTATCGAAATCGATACGTACGTATTCATCACGATTTGCAGCGCTCTGCATGTGAAAGAAGCCAAGTGTATGCAGGAATTCATGTACAATTGTGCCGAGACGGAAGCAGCCCGTATCAAGAGGATAATGTTGAAGATTATAATATTGAATGCCATTCAACCAACTAATGCTTGAGTAGCACCCGCCATCATTGCCAGTGATGTTGACGTAATATGTCTGCTCTGCTGTGGCTTCTTGAAAGCGTATACACGAAAGGCTTTCTAAGATTTCAATGCCTCGTAGGATATGATTCCTATGC